ATACTGCCTTGGAAACCCAAATATGGGTCACTATGAGTCGGATCTGACTCTGCGGCAGTGTGTTTGGTTTGGTTTGGTGGTTCCAGTCTTTCTTAAGGAGAGTGTTGTTCAGTTTCCATGTGTTTGCTCTTTTTCCATTGATCTTCCTATTGTTGATTTCTAATTTGATAGCATTGTGATCTGAGAAGATGCTTTGCAATATTTCAATCTTTTTAAATTTATTAAGGCTTGCTTTATGGCCTAACATATGGCCTATCATGGAGAAAGTTCCATGTGCATTGGAAAAGAATGTATATTGTGCTGTTGTTGGGTGAAGTGTTCTGTAGATGTCTAGATCTCTGTAGATCCAAGTTGGTGGATTGTATTAGTTAGCTCTTCTGCGTCTTTGTTAAATTTCTTTCCAGTTCTATCTTTCATTGAAGGTGGTGTATTAAAATCTCCCACTATGACTGTTAACCAGAGGGCTGGCAGTTCAAACCCGCCAACTACTCCTCGGAAGGAAGATTGGGCAATCTACTTCTGTAGTAATATTGCCTTGGAAACCCAAGGAGGGGTTGCTATGAGTCGGGTCTGACTCCACGGCACATAACAACAACAATGACTGTGTAGTCATCTATTTGCCTTTTCAACTCTTTTAAAGTCTGATTTATGAATTTTGGGGCTCTTTCATTGGGTCCACAGATACTTATTATGGTTATACCTTCTTGTTCAATTGATCCTTTACTCATTATATAATGTCCTTCCTTGTCTCGTATGGTGGTTTTTGTCTTGAAGTCTATTTGATCAGAAATTTATATTGCCACTCCTGCTCTTTTTTGGTTGCCATTTGCTTGCTATATCTTTTTCCAATCTTTGATTTTTAGTCTATTTTTGTCTTTGTCTCTAAGGTGTGTCTCTTGTAGACAGCATATTGATGTTTTTTTTTTTTCTTATCCAGTCTGCAACTCTCTGTCTCTTGAGTGGTGCATTTAATCCATTAACATTCAGTGTAATTATCAACAAGTATGAATTGGTTGCTGTCATTCTGTTGTATGTTTTTTCATGGTGTCCCTGGTTTCTTTGTCCCATGTAATTTTCTGTGCTGAGCTCATTA